GATTTTTTTTTTTTTTTTGACTGCAAAGAACAATATTTGTTTTCATGAGCTAATAAGGCTGGAAGTAACCATCTCGATATAAATTTTGAGAAGGGTCGATAAATATTTGTAAATCTCTTTAACTAGTTTTTTGATGAAATTAGATAAAACTAGCTGCATCGACACTGAATATGTTGTTCTTTTTCAAAGCACCGTCGGTGTCGCCAGATAAGATCGAACAACACACTACTAACCGTTTTCAGTTGTAAAAATACTAGCCTGAAGAATGTATTTCCGAGCATCTATTAAAGGATTTGGATTTTTCCTGGAGAGGGGTAGGGTGGCATGCCCACGATTCCCCATAGCGCTGCCACTTTACAAAATCTGAAATCTATCAAAATGTACCTTGGCCAGCAAGATGTCAAAAACTAAAGTACTAAAACATCTGATTCATTGTTAAAAAATTCAGGGTATTTTAATACATACTGACATTTTTGTTTCCTGATCTTATCTTCTTCCTTTGATAAGTAAATATTTAATTTGATTATCTCTAATCTTGACCACAAGTATTGAAATCCAAGAAATCATTCAATATTTTCCTCCTGAAAGCATACAACAGTTTCTAGAATTTTACTATTCTTCTATTTCGTGTGAAACGACCTCTTCCAATGGAATCCAAGTTCTCAATTCTCCGTAAATCTGACCTGTTTAGTTGATCTGAAATCTGCAGAGAATTAAACATTATTATCTTACAAAAGTAGTATCATTAAATTTTGGTGCCTTGTGCAATTTCCATACATGCACTTTTAATAAGGCCTCTGTCACATCATGCTGGGTTGGAATTTCATTTATGTGTTGGATTGTCATGGAAACATATGATGTCATTTTTAAAGCAAATTTTACCCAAATTTTTAATTCAAAGCACCTTGGCTAATCATGTTCTTGTCTCCAATTGTTAATTTGTTCTTGTGTTTATCAATTTGTTGTGTATCGTTAGTGTGATAACAGCTATTGTACAGTCAATATTGTTCAGTATTTTGTTTAATTGGTTATGCTACTCAGTATGGTACTTGGTATCTGAAACAATTAGTCCATCAAATGACTTTCTAAAATTCATTTAGAATAGATACTACAGTGTTCACGGATATGCTTAACATTGCAGTAAGAAGCAAACTCTGATACAGGCCACCATTGATTCTATACAGTTAAACTTGCCTAAGTCGACTGTGCCTAAGTCGACTGTGCCTAAGTCGA